GCTATCTCAGCCGATGTGGATGTTTTCCCTTTCCAGTCGAGCTGGTGTTTTTTCCCTCTTATTATTTGACCTATTCGGATCTGTTTGCGGACTATCGCCTTTACTATCCTCTATATAATAAAATATACCTTCAGTCCATTTGTTTGGAGTGGAAAGTGTCTTTTACATCTCCCATCGAATCCCCGAACCTCTCATAACACCCACACACAAGTCTAGGTTACAGAGTCAAGATACAAACAAACATCAAGAACCAGGCAGCCAGCACAGTACTGTTGCAGCTGTCTGGAGCTCTTGCACCCCAGGTGTGGAAAGCAAGAAAGATTCGAGGCATCAGAGTCATGCGGGCTGCCAAAGGGCAGGGCAGGAGAGAGCCAGTGCTCACAGGAAGGGAGGGCAACCTTCCAGGAGGAAGGATCCCAAGTTACCTCCTGCCAAACCTTTTAGGATAGAGAGTTGTCTATACTAGGCTCTCCACTCCCTCTTCCCTCCCCCTTTTTTTTTTGGTCCGTGGATTTTTTAAAAATTGTGGTAAAATATGCACAACATACAATTTACCATTTTAACCATTAAGTGTACAGTTCAGTGGCATTAACCACATTCACATTGTTGTGCAGCCATCACCACTATCCATCTCCAGAACTCTTTCATCTTCCCAAACTGACACTCTGTCTGCCTTAAACAACAACTCCCCCATCTCCCTCTCCCTCCCCCTGGTAACTTCTACTTGACCTTCTGTCTCTGTGAATGTAACTCCTCTAGGTTCCTCATATAAGTGGAATCATACAGGATTTGTCCTTTAGTGTCTGGCTTCTTTCGCTTAGCATAATGTCCTCAAGGTTCAACCATATTTAGCATATATCAGAATTTCCTTCCCTTTTTAAGACTGAATAATATTCTATTGTGTGTGCAGACCACATTTTGTTTATCCATTCATCTGTCCAGGGACACTTGGGTTGTTTCCAGCTTCCGGCTATCTCATTTTCTCTCAAACTTCTCTTTTTGCTGTCTTTTGTTAAAATCATGCGGAATATTTCAAATTGCAGCTGCCTGGAAAATCTAGAAATTTTAACAGGACAGCCTCTCTGGGCCTCAGTTTCTGCATCTCACAATGATAATATCGAAAGGAACAACACAGGTCAGCATTCCTATGGTTTGTTGATGCCCAGCAGGAGCAGAAATGAGGAGACTTGCGTGGAAGCCAGGTGAGGAGGGCAGCAGCTGGGGTGACATTCTCTCCATGGTCTGAGCCTGGGCACAAATCCCCTCTTCAGTGACTCTGGGCTGCCAGAGTCCAGAGTCTGGCTCTGGCCAAGGGGAAGTGAAGCAAAAGGTAGTCATGATTTGTGGAAATGACCCTGTCCCCTCCCCGCCCCACCCCCACCCGCCCCCATTAATTGGCTCCAAGGTGCCGGCTTTGGGCTTGCCAGTGACCTGTGACCTGGGGCAGAAAAAAACTGGCCAACCAGGACCAGCCAGTTACTTTCTCTCACAAAGCTGAATGGAGGAACGGTAGGGAGCTCAAGGGGCAGAAACTACTAGAAGCCAGGACATGTCAGTCAGAGGAGGAAGAATTGAGCCAAGCAGCTGGGAGGTGCAGGGCCACCATGAGAGACAGCAGCGAGGACCCCAGAGTAGCTCTCATCCCATGTCTAATCCCAGGTCAGGTGTCCTTCCAAGACACACACACACACACAAACACACACACACACACACACGCCTCTTGTTTCTGGAGACTAGAGTGTGTATCTGCCCCCCGCCCCTAAAGGGTCTGACGAGAACCCTTGGCGTGAGGCCAGGATGGGAGAAGGGAGATGTGTGCTCTCAGGGTACAGGAAAACATGAACCTCTGCAGCTGATGCCAGCCTTGGCTGGACCTCGGAGAGCAGTGCGACACACCAATGAATGAGAGCACAGCCCTCCATTCATTCACTGGGCATGGGGGGCATAGCTGTACGGTAGAGGCTTCCTTTGGGGGGGCGATTAAAATGTAAACCTGTGGCGATGGTTGCACACCTCTATGAATATACTAAAAACCATTGAATGGTAGTCTAAACAGGTGGATTGTGTGGTATGTGAACTGTATCTCGGTAAAGCTGCTCACACATGCGCACAGACACACACGGGGCAAGCATGGGAAATCCTCCACACCCCAGGACAGGCCGTTCTCAGTCTGCTTCCCTGGGCTCCGCTTCCACGGAGGACAGAGGACAGACTGGGAGTCCACTCCCCTCCCACACCTCCTCGCCTGCCCAGGAGGTCACAGGGAATTTGGGTTATAAGGAATGGGACAAAGTATTTGGAAGTGCTTTAAGACCAGGTGCCGGGGCAGCCCTGGTGGCGCAGCAGTTAAGTGCGTGCGCTCCGCTTCGGTGGGCCGGGGTTCGCAGGTTCGGATCCTGGGCGAGCACTGACGCACCGCTTGTCAAGCCATGCTGTGCCAGCGTCCCATATAAATTAGAGGAAGATGGGCACGGATGTTAGCCCAGGGCCAGTCTTCCTCAGCAAAAAAAGGAGGAGTGGCAACAGATGTTAGCTCAGGGCTAATCTTCCTCACAAAAACAAAACAAAACAAAACGAAAAAAACCCCAGATGCCGCCTGGAGTGGGAATGGCCTGCAGACACACAGGACCCGGGCAGAAGCTCAGCAGGGACATGTGTGGGTCTGCACGGGCAGACCAGGGAGTCCAAAGGCCAGGAGAGGGCCCAAAAGACCTCCAGCCCCCACCCCCAGCCTTTTGGGTGAGACTTTCCTCCTACTGCAGTTTTGGATTGAAACAAGAAGACCCCAGGCAGGGCAGAGGGGCCCCCTGCTTAGTCAGGAACACACCTGGGGAATCTTGGGCGTGAGTGAGTTTTGAGGGCATGGCACAGGCCAGTGACCTTGCCGGCAGCATGAGGCTGGGAGCGGTCAGTGAAATCCAGCTGGGGGCCAGGTCCAGGGAGGCCACCCCAACAGTGAAGGTAGGGTTTCCACCTCGCAGTTCTGTTTGGGGATGGCCTAACCTAGGAGCTGGGAGTTCATCCACGTGAGTCATTCATGAAGCCAGCGTTTACTGAGTGCCTGCTATGTCCCAGGCCGTTCCCAACAAGAACAGGGGCATGTGCGAAAGCCTCCTGCACCTGCCGGCCTTCTCCTGTGTAACTCCTGGTCCTCAGGCAACACTCCAATGGACAGTCTGGGGCACTGACTTCCGTCCTTCTCAAGGTCACACAGTGAATGGCAGAGTAGGATGAGAGAGCAGCCGTGAGCACAGAGAGGATTCCCATCTGGAATAGTGTAGAGGCCGGAAGTGGGGAACCAGCTGTCCTAGCACAGCCTCTGCAAGCCCTGGCCCCGCAAGCGTGCTTCACAAATGGGAAACTGAGGCACACACAAGGATACTGTAGCCACTGGGGCAGGCTACCTGCAGCACAGTGCTGGGATAACAGGGCCTGGAACCCTGGCACAGGCCCCTGGTGAGGCCCCTCAAAGATGGTGGCTCTGCCCCTGCGCAGGCCTCTTCTGGCCGCTTTCCATCACAGCCGTGGACTGAAACACAAGCAAGGACTTTGGTCCTGCTGTTGGCCGGCTGTCCTGACCAACTCCGAGAATAAACAGGTGAAGCAGGTAGAACCGCAGGGCCTACGGGGCAGCCCAAACAGCTGCAGCTTCTTTTTTGAGAGGACACCAAGGCCCAGGAGGGGACCACTGGCCAGCGATCAGCCCAGGGCAGCTGAGCGAGTGGCCTGTCCAGTATTTCCAGGGAGCAGGGGCCAGGCCCCCTTCTGTTTTCAGTTTGCACTCATGGCTTTCTGTGGCCGGGGAACCGGGCATTGTTCATCAGCAAATTCTGTCAAAAAGGTTCTTTTCACTGGTTTGGCAAAATCCCCCCAACCTCATAAGACTGAGAAACTAGGCTGACCACTGCACGTGGACATGGGGTGTTTCCAGTTGCCCACCACTCACTAGCGACTGATCCTGGCTTGCCTTGTGGCCTCTCTTTCTGTCTCCAGGCACTCCTTGCAATGCTCAGGAGTCTCCCCAACCTGAGCTCCAACTATTTTCCGGCATGGGCTGCACTACAGAGACTGAATGGAGGAGAGGGAGGACTCCGGAGTGGAGAGACCAGCCTGCCAAGCGCCACGGGAGGGCACTCACTCTGCTGTATTAACAGCCGGTTTTATGGTGCTTCCTTTTTAGCTGGGGTGGGGGATAGGCCTAGAGAAGCATTGACATGAAAGTCATTCCTTCTTGGTTTCCGTGCCTCTCTGGAGGACTCCCTTCCCAGTGACTGGAATCAACAGTCCAGATCATGAAGCTGGCGGTCAGCCGGAACATTAACATTCTTGTTTTATTTTGCAAGGAAGAATATTCAGACTCAACACAGGTTAGATAAAAACGTTGATTCAGTCTCCAGACCGATGGGACTGGAGAGGCAGGCAGTCTGGCCTCATCCTTTGAAACCCTGGTAGCTTCCCCTTCACCCTTCAGGTGTGACAGCTGGCTGAGCTGCAAGCCCGGGACTTGGCACAGTAGGATGGGACGGGAACTGCACAGTAGACGTCCCCGGCCAGCCCCCGACCACCTCAAGAGGCGTGCACACCTGTGTCCGCTGTGGCCCGACCTGTGTCTCTGTCTCCAGACGCTGGGCCAGGAAGGGCGGCCACCTCCTGGAGAGTCTCAAGGGCGCGGGTCCCCGGGGTCTAGAGGGACGGGCTCGGCCCCTCTCGTTCTCCTGCAAAGAGCACTGCCTGGCGGCCTGTCCCAGGCCTGTTGCTAAGAGCCACTGGCTTCCTCTTGCGGGGTCAAACGAGTTCCTCGCGTGAGCACGTGGAGCCTGCATGCGGGAGGGGGTCGGGCGGGGGGCTCTCGGCACGGTGCTGCGGTGCGGGAACAGGCGACAAACAGAGAAGGGAGCTGCCTGGGGTGTCCAGGGGCCGCGAAAACTCCGGGGCGCCCTCGCCCCCCTGCCCCGCCCCTCGCGCAGCGCGGCCCCGCCCCTCCAGGTTGCTAGGGGAAGTGACGTCACAGCGCGATGGCGGCGGCTCCTTTAGGCTGCTGAAGGGGGAGTTAGGCCCGGGAGATCCGAGTCCATCCGCGGCGGGGAGAGGGCAAGCGGCGTCGGAGGGGCCCGGAGCAGGGGCGGCGGCGCTCGGACTGTTCTCTCCGCCCCGTATTGAGGCGCTGGGAGCGACGGGGCGGCCGGAAAGCGATGGTGAAAGCGGGGCCGTGAGGGGGGCGGAGCCGGCAGCCAGACCCGCAGTAGCGGCAGCTGCGGCGCCGCCTCCCCGCGCTTAGACCCAGGAAGCGGCCGGGAGAGTAGGAGCGAGCCGGGGCCGCCGCCGCCATGGAGCTCAGGGTCGGGAACAGGTACCGGTTGGGCCGCAAGATCGGCAGCGGCTCCTTCGGAGACATCTATCTCGGTGAGGCACTTCCCCCGGGCCTGGCCGAACCGAATCGGGTCCCCTCCGCCCGCGCCCCGGGGACCCCCGGCCGGCCCCGAGGCACTGGCCCCAGCGCGCCGGGCCCGGGGGTGGCGGTGTCCCCGCAGACCGACGAAGGCCCTCGGGCGTCGCGTGGCCCCGCGTCCTGGCACGTGCGGGCAGGTGGGCGCGGGGAGCCCCGGCTGGGCCCTGTGCAGCCGCGCGCTCGGGCCGGACCGTGGGCTCCGGACGGTAGGACGGGCGCGGGGTCGGCCGTGTCAGTGGTGAGTGGTGGCTAGGAACGTGTTGGGCATCCGTGCTCTGTCCTGGGCACCTGCGCCCGGACAGCCCTGAGAGTCAGGTGCGGTGACGGAGTCGTGTGAGGATGCTGGCGGAATTAGAGGCAAGGGAGGTAGGAAGCCCTGCTCGTGAGCCTGCCCTTTTGGCTTTGAAAATTCTCAAGGTAGAGTTGAAAAACACATTTGGGATTAGAATGTTCTGGATTGTTTCGGATTTACAGTGGAAGAATACGCGCACACACGTGTGTAATAAAAGGTTGGCTGGAATCTTAAAGTTGAGAATGTTAAAACAACTTTTTTGCATTTCTCAGAGGAATTATGTGTAAGTTACTGCACACCCCCTGGATTTGGGAACGTCCAACCTGGCACACGGTGTGTGTTCAGAAAGACTGAAAGACTGTCGTTGCGCAAGTTTGGGGTCAGCGTGTTGTGTTGTTGCGCAGCCACGCCCTGTTGTTTCTGTTTGGACGGTGTACCTGTCCGGGAGGGTCAGGAATAGCTTCCTGTGTCGGTAATGCCTCTGGTTATGCCTTTCAGACGATCCCAAGTGTGTGTGCCCACCGCCCTATCCTTCCTTCTTGGCCGGAGAAGACGCAGGACTTCGGGGGCTGTTAAGAGGATTCGACGTGTTTGGGTAGTTCATAACTGCCTCTGGTGCCTAGTTACCCTGCTGGGTGACCCCGTTACTGCCATATTGATGCCTTTGAACCTATACTTCTGCCTTACTGTCCTGCTGAGTAAAATACACTTTGGAAGCATTTGGAATTTAGTATTTAAATATTTATGTCCAGTAGTCAGCCAGCTGCATTCTCAGCAGCGTTTTGGGAGGCAAAGTGCTAGGTAAATGCAAGCTGTTTGCCTTATTTATAGAATAATAGGTTTTGGCAAAAGCTTTAACCTAGGAGCTGTACTGAAAGGCCATTCCATGAGCCACTCTTATGCAAGCATCAAAAAGTAGATGTGAAACTTTCTGTCCTTGCCAGACAGCTCTGTGCTTTCTAAAGCTGGGTTCAGACAATCAAATTGTGAAATTGTTACCGAGTCATTCACAAAGGTGTAAGCTCTTCTCATTGGGACTGGGAGCTTTGTGGGGGACCCTGTCTGCTTATTCCCTACTACATCCTTTGGACTTCACCTGGTGCTGGGCACACGGGTAGCACTGGATACATATCAGGCTGACTGGTCCCAGAGGAGTCTGTCCTCAGTCTCCTGCTTCATGTGTGTTCTAAGATGGGTGGACTGTGGTTCTTGAGCCCTTGTTCTGAGCACCCACACAGCTCACACATCAGGGTAAACTTAGAGTTACTTGTGTGGGATTGGGCACAACCCATTTTTTGCAATCAGTGTTGGCTCTTGGCCCACATGGCAGTCCTTTCAGGCTACGCACGACCCCACTGAGAAAATGTGAAATGATCTTGTTAGCTTGAGTAAGATGTGGCTAGAAAGGTGGGTCTGAGGAAGCTCACCACATACTGTCGTTAAGGATCAAAGATGACTGGTCCAAAGATGATGGGATGGATTGAGTCACCTGTACCATAGCTTTTTCTATTTGTTTAGGCAACTAATCAGGCATTAGTTAAGGAACTGAGTCCTGATCTTGAAAATTGGTATGTCTTAGGTATTTTGTGTGATTACAATTAAAATCATTCCTGCTACCATCCTTTTGCTACTGGTCAGAAGGCTCTTGACTCCTCCAGGTAGGGTCACCTTGTTTTGAGCCTGGTGTTTGGGGTCTTGGATTTCTGCCTGGAAGTTTCTGTGCTTTCACACGTTTGAAACTGGGAGTAGGGAAGGCTGTTCTTCAGCTTGCCAAGCGCCTTGTGGACCAAGAAGGCCCAGTATTGGTCTGTCTTTCTGGTGGCCTGCTGTGCTGACGTGGTCACGTGGCACTGTGCCCTGCCAGTTATTCCAGTCCTTCCCAAAATTGCCCCTTCAAAGGGGGGCAGTATCTTGGGGCTATTTCTCCAGTGCCCAGGCTTCAGAAAGTCTGTGTACTGGACTTGAGCCAGGTAGACCCCAAAACGTGCAGCCTCGATCCTCAGTCTGCCTCCCTCTCAGCTTGCCAGATCCAGAGAAGGCTGCTGGGAAGGCCTCAGAGCTCACACACCCTGGGCAGCACACACTTGGGCAGAACGTCACCGCACTTGGTATTGCAGGTGGTATAAGGTGAACCCCGCCCGGCCGTTTGCCTCCCTCAGCTTTAGCTTCCACGGGGTTGTGCCCCCTCGCTGCTGGAGGTGGTGTGTTTTTGAGGCAGTGGAAACCAGAAGTCCTTTTTCTTTGCTGGCAGTATACCTCTTATATATGTGAAAACAAAGGGAGAGCCAGTGTTCTTAATGTGGACCATGTGTTCCAAACTCCAGTATGGCCCTTGGAGCTGAGGGGAGAAGAGTGTGTGCGGGTGGCCAGCTGGAGCCCAGGCTGTGTGGTGGTGCTGGCCGGCGCAGTTGCTGTTCTGTTCAGCCAGTGTTTGGGGAGTGCTTGCGAGGTGCCAAGTGCCGGAGGGGTGGCATGAGCCCCCTGTTCTCATGGAGCTCTGTTCTCGTCCACGTTTGTCTTCTAGAGACAGGCAGCAGGGTCCTCAGACCCCCCTCCCATTCTTGATTCACAGAACAGGTTTTCTTTCTGTCAGCTGTTGGCATTTGTGTTTGATCCTCTTGCTCTGTCAGTTTGTCACAGTGTGACCTGATCCATCCACCTGTTACCTGGACGGATTTCATGATGTACACAAAGACCTTTTGGAAGCTAAAGCTTAGTTACCTCTTCATATTTGATTTTCGTATTTTCCCCTTGCTGACTCATTTTTTTTCAGCGGCACCTAGCAAGGTGCCTGGCTTGCAGTAGGAATTCCAAAATGGTGGCCGGCTGGCTGGCCAGGAGAGGAGCCTGTCCTCGCTGCAGCTTTCGTCGTCATCTGCGTGTGTTCTTAGGGTGGTGGCTTGAGCGTTTTTAGTGAGAAGTCATGGTACTGTGTCAGCTGCCTTGTCAACAGCTGCTCTGTGAGAGGGACCTTTGCCTTCTTGTTCTGAGGCCTCTCCCTATTTCTTCATCGATAAGACAGTCCTCAGTGGGAGTTACCTTCCTGTCCCAGGTCAGGGGCAAACTCGGGATGAGGTTCTCTTAATTGACCATCTGCCTTTGTCTGCTCAACTTGAGGGATGTAATTTTGTTTTCCTAGGACCAGCATGGACCTATGTCTGAACATAGATGAACATCTTGCCTAGTGTGGGGACCTTATCTGACTGGGGCTGTTAAGCTGCACAGAAGAGTTGAGGTTGTTGGGAGGTAAAACCCCTCAGTATAGACAGACACTGTGAGTGAACATGTACATGCCACTTGATTTTGACTTGTTCTGAATCTGGAGCTCAGTGGTATCTTCTAAATTCTTGTTCCTCATCTAGAAGTTCGTGTTTCTAAAAGCTGCCTGTGCTGAAGGACCAGATTTTGTAATATCCAGTCTGTTGCAGACCAGTGCTTTTGTAAAATAAGATTAAAATGTTGCAGCATGTCACATTGCTCTCAGAGCTCCTCAGTGCTTCCTCACTGTCCTGTATTTGTCTCTTCATCGACTGGTGGCAGTTTGAGGCCTAGACTTGGAGCAGCACCACCAGTGGAGCAGGGGGGCCGTGGTCAGCCTGGAGCAGGGGCAGGGCTGCAGGGCTGCGGGCTCATGGACCTCAGTTTTGCTTGGTGGCCTCTGAAGTTTGGTTCCCATGGAATGCACAGAACTTGAAGCTCTGCTGCTTGGTACTTTTTCTTTTTTTTTTTGGAAGATTGGCCCTGAGCTAACATCCATTGCCAATCTTCCTCTTTTTTCCGTTTTTTTCTCTGCAAAGCCCCAGTTCATAGTTGTATATCCTAGTTGTACGTTCTTCTAGTTCTTCTATGTGGAACGCCACCTCAGCATGGCTTGATGAGTGGTGTGCAGGTCCGCAGCCCAAGATCCAAACTGGCGAACCCCGGGCCGCCAAAGCAGAGCGCGCGAACTTAACTGCTATGCAATCAGGCTGGCCACTGCTGCTTGGTACTTCTACCCAGTGGGCTCCCAGAAGAGGCAGCCCGGAGTGTGTGCTACTCTCAACATCTGTTTGGTAGAGAGCCCACATCCAGGCTCTCCTCTTTGAGTCATCAGACTTGGGGCAATCTTCACATCTGTAATCCTGCAGAGGGCTGGCTCTTCGCTTGTGTGATCCTGTGGGAGGACTGGAGCATTGATAGGAGGATGGAATTCATATTGTGTTCCAGAGTTGGCTGTGGTCATTTGTCCCCAAGGCTGTCGGTATTGCTGGAGTGAATGTCAGACATTAGCTTTATCAGCCACAGTAGAGTAGAGCCAGAAATGTTCTCCGCCTTCTGGAAGGTGCTAGTCCAGTAGGTAGCCTGTGTGGGCCCATGCTATCTTGTCATTGAGGACCTGCTTCCTGACAAGGGTGACAGTGCTGACATAGTCGGAGGGGCAAGAGTGCTCTCACCAGAGGTGACACTTGTGCTTTGGGGAGCGGGGAGTTGCTGATGTGACTAGAAAGATGAGTCATCTGTTCCTCCTGGGCTGGTGAGTTCAGTTCAGAGTTCCAGGTCCTCACAGGAACTCTGAGTTCATTTTTCATTGGCACCATACATTTTACAATGAAGTCATTTCCCTTGTAATTGGACACACTGTCCCAACTATGGGCAGGAAGAACAAAATGTATTATTTCTCTTTCTTCTGAGTGCCCAAAAGAGTCTTTGTGGAATGGTAAATGAAGTTCTTAAATCTAAAATGGTCACTGGCAGTGATCATGTGGTGGTTATTCCCACGGAACCCCGGTATTGGTGACCTGCTTTGGATCCAGGCTCGCTGGAAACGGCCACCATCTCGTGCAGTCATCTGAGCAGACAAGGGGAGTCTCTTTCTCTGGTTCTTGGGCATTTACTGGACACATCAACAGGCAGCTCTCCTGCATTGTTGTAATGCTTGCCTATCTTACTCTGTCTTTTGTCTGGGAATCTCAAAGTGCTTTGTAACCATTAACCTATTCATCTCCACGACTCCCTCATGAAGTAAACTACAGCTCTCCCTGCTAAACTCAGATGGGGAGAGAAACTGAGTCACCAATGACTGGCCAGGTTGCTTTGCACAACACTACAGTCTCCCTGGGAAGGAAGTGTCCCAGGTTCTATCTGGGCTGCTGGAGCCAGTGTTAATTCCTTCACAAATAACTATACTCCTGGGAGGGATTAAGGTGTTTTATACTTAGAAGGAACCTGTGAGGAGAGCGAGAGGAGAGCTGGGTATGTTCTGTGTAAGACTTCTTCTCCTATTCTCTCCAGTTAAAGCTCCTTGAGGAAGGTCTTGTAGACACAGCTTTGGGTCAGATTGGAACTCAGGAGCATGTGTGGCATGTGTGTGTGAAGCCTGGAGGGGTGGTGGTTGTCACGTTTGTAGTTCCTTACTAGAGTAAAGCAGAGATACAACGTTTTTAGATAAAAACTTTAATTTTGCCTTTAAACTCATGGGCTGGTAATTGGGAAGTATTTTAGCACAAAACTAACAAAAGCTGTGTGACAAGTACATGTTGCGTAGATATAGTTAGGGCTTTGGAAACAGTGCCAGGAAGAAATGCGCAGAGATGTCCTGTGCCCAGGAAGGGAGAGGTTTGCTGAGCCTCCCTGGGTGTCCCTTGGCCTGGCCTGCGATGGGTTAGTGATGACTTCTGCCGCCTTGTGGGAACTGAGCCTGCTTGAGAAGTGCTCTGACTGTTGAGATGTGTGCAGCTCAGTAACCAGTCTGAGTGGACTGAGGCTGTGTGGGTGTTTGATAAAAACTCAGCCCTCGGGGCCGGCCTGGTGGCACAGCGGTTGAGTGCGCCTGCTCTGCTGCGGTGGCCCGGGGTTCACGGGTTCGGATCCCGGGCGTGCACCAACGCACCACTTGTTGAGCCGTGCTGTGGTGGCATTCCATATAAAGTAGAGGAAGATGGGCACGCATGTTAGCCCAGGGCCAATCTTCCTCAGCAAAAAGAGGAGGATTGGCATCAGATGTTAGCTCAGAGCTGGTCTTCCTCACAAAAAACAAAACAAAACAAACAAAAACTCAGCCCTTCCTCTAGAGAAAGGCTGATGCACACCCACATGGGCCTTTCAGGGCAGCGTGGAGAAACGGGTCCACACAGACTGTGTCACAGGAACACAGAGTCACCCTGGGACTCCCCCCAGTCTGGCCTTGGCCGGGTAAATGCCGGGGTGACTAACAAGGTGGGTAGGAAGGTTCGGACCAGAAAAGATGGGAGTCCTAAGGAGAGAACTACATTGGCCTGTCTCTGGGTCTGGTCACCTAGTGACATGATCAGAGTGGGGACATATGGAAGTGGGTGGTGGAATACCAAATAAGACTTTTCTGTACATATCAAATACTTCCTGTTTTAAAAAGTGAAAGTAAGGATAATTTTCCAGAGGGATTTGTTGACCACTGACACAATCTTGGGATAGGAAATAGAGAGCATCCATCGTTTGGTCCTTGTTGGAAGATTCAGTTAGTGCTCATTGTTTCTCGTATGGTAGCATTGGGCTGGGTGGTAGACACCAGATAATTAACGTTTGTGATTTTGTTTCTTTGTCAAGGTACGGACATTGCTGCAGGAGAAGAAGTTGCCATCAAGCTTGAATGTGTCAAAACCAAACACCCTCAGCTCCACATTGAGAGCAAAATCTACAAAATGATGCAGGGAGGAGGTATGCCATTTACCTATTAAGAGAGAAAACCAGGGTTGTGTTTGATGAGGGAGAATGTGTCATGAATCGAAGCCTCTGGTTTATTTTGGGAAAGGGAGGGAAATGTCCACATCCTTGGCTCAGTCATGAGTCTTCCTTCACATGCTGTCTGAGAGGCCTACGGAGGGCCTCACTCAACGAAAACAAACATGATTTTATGCCTTTTGCTTAAATACTACCTTCCTTAGCTTCATGTTACGTAGTAGTGTCTCTGAACTCAGAGTTTATGTGAATTTTGATTTTTCAAGCACACTGCTGATTGTTGCTCGCGCCACCTTGGTCACACACTTTGCTTACAGCTTTGGGGAGGTCCCTTCAAACTCTGCTGAGTGAAACGGGTTTGAACTCTGCAACCCCTTCCAGCTTGGTATGCGTCCCAACTCTACCCCCCAGGCCTAAGAGGACGTGATGTCGGAGGTGCTCATCCTGATCTCAGTCTAACTTGCAGAATTCTATGGACTTCAAAATAGTTTGGGGGCTGGCCCAGTGGCCTAGTGCTTAAGTTTGCACGCTCCACTTCGGCAACCCGGGGTTCACGGGTTTGGATCCCGGGCGCGGACCTACACACTGCTTATCAAGCCATGCTGTGGTGGTGTCCCACATAAAATAGAGGAAGATGGGCACAGATGTCAGATCAGGGCCAATCTTCCTCAGCAAAAAGAGGAGGATTGGCAACAGATGTTAGCTCAGGGCTAATCTTCCTCACATACACAAAAAACGTTTGGCTGATAGAGTAGGAGGGGATTTTATTGGGGGTCTCAGAGACCTGAAGACACTGCAGCATGATGAAGGACACATACGGCTGCTCCACAGGGAGCTCAGGAAGCCCTAGGCGCAGCCCTGAATGTTTTGAGCTCTCTTCGAAAATAGGGCTTTGTGTCTGAAGAATGGCTGCGCTGCTTCCTCTTTGGAAATCCTTCAAGTCAGAAGCCCCTGTGGTACTTTCATAGTTGGGGGGGTGCTCTTAGCACTTTGCTGAAGGAAAGCTTGTCTGTGTGAGCCCTTTTGTCAGGCAGAAAGGGAGGACCGGTGATTTGACTTTTTGACGTCTTTCCTCCACAAAAGCAGTTGAATTTATGCTACACCTAGAAACCAACATTTCTTGGTTTACACAGCACAAAGTGTCCCTTTAGCAGCAGATAATGTCTCAAGGCAGTACAAACAGTCCTGTGGGACCTATTGCAGAGGAAGTGACCAGTGTGTACTGTCGCAGGTTTCATAGGACCAGAGGAGGCTGTGGGCTCTTGACCGGCACACGGGTGAAAACTCACTGGCCCCTGTGGTCCCCAGGGAGAGATCAGCAGAGGCCCCAGCCAGTGTGCTTGCCCTCCGGCGGCCCTCAGGAGTGGGAAGGCTTCTCAGGCATTCAGTCTACACAGCTTTTAAGGTGGTGACGAGTAGAATGAAGTGACTCAGGTTGTAGCCTTCATGTTAGGGAAGAGCCTGGTGCTGGGGGTTGAATGAAACCTCCGAGCTTAAAAGCTGTGTTAAGTTTTAAGGAGCAGCATCTCTGTGAGAACTCCCAAGCTGGGGGTGCCCGCGGGCGGTGGGAGGGAAAATGGTCAGCTGACGCCTGCGATAGGAACTGGTTAAGCAGACTGAGACTCCAAACAGAAGAGTTTTATTTGGTCTAGAACAAGGTTTCTCAACCTTGGCACCATTGCCATTTGTTGTGGGGGCTGTCCTCTGCATGTAGAATGGTGAGCAGCGTCCTACGTGCCAGTAGGACCCCTCTGCCCAAGTTGGGACAATCAAAAGTGTCTGCAGATGTTGCTAAATGTCCCAGGGTGTGATGTTGCTTCCCGGTTTGAGTCCCTGCTTTAGGATGTGAAGGATCACTTGCTCACTTGGTGTTCCCATGTCCGTTCTCTAGGATCCTGGAAACCCACCAGGATTCCAGAAATGGACCTCCTTCCATCTGGCCATTCTCCACACATAGATGGGGGTTTTCCTCCTGTTTCACATCCACTCTTGGTACTTCCAAGATGTAAAGATCTCTATTTTAGAAAACAGATTATGTCCAGGAAAGCAGAGTGCATAATTCTGATAGTGTTCTGTGAACTTATTCTAATGAAGACTAAGCTGGGACCAGCAGAGAAGATGTAGGAATCTGCTCTGTCCAGAAATCATCTGGCTTTGTTGTTGACCAGTCTTCTGCATCACGTCTCACGTGGATGCATGCAGACCACTTGTCGCTATGAAGGGACACGAGCATCTCTGGTTGTGGCTCTTGTTTTTATGCCATGTTCTGGGCTTACCTGCAAGTGGTGATACTGATGGCATTGTCAGAGAAAGGTTGAAGCCAAGTGGCTGCCTTAGACTCTGGCTTGTGGTACAGGGTCGTCCAAGATGCTGCCCGGATGATGGTGGTGTTGTGGTACCTGGCTAAAGAAAGCTGCTGCGCTTGGTCAGTCAGGCTGCTGTGGGAAAGAGTTGGCATTAAAAAATACACATTAGGGCCGGCTCCGTGGCTTAGCGGTTAAGTGCGCGCGCTCTGATGCTGGCGGCCCGGGTTCGGATCCCGGGGGCGCCCCGAGGCACCGCTTCTCCGTCCAACGTGAGGCCGAGTCCCACGTACAGCAACCAGAAGGATGTGAACCTATGACATGCAACTATCTACTGGGGCTTTGGGGGGAAAAAAACTGAATAAATAAAAATCTTTAAAAAAATAAATAAATAAAAAATACACATTAGTGTCAAGTATTGTTAAAAGGGTTTTTTTTTTTTTTTTTTCCTGAGGAAGAGTCACCCTGAGCTAACATCTGTTGCCAATCTGTCTCTTTTTTTGCTTGAGGAAGATTGGCCCTGAGCTAACATCTGTGCCCATCTTCCTCTTTTTGCTTGAGGAAGATTGGCCCTGAGCTAACATCTATGCCAGTCTTCTTCCATTTTGTATGTGGGTCGCCACCACAGCATGGCTGATGAGTGGTGTAGGTCCACACCCGGGATCTGAACCCGCACACCTGGACTGCCAAAGCAGTGTGTGCTGAACTTAACCACTATGCCATGGGGCCAGCCCCTAAAAGCGTTTTTTACACACATTGGCATGTTGGCACACACAGCAGTCCTGTGCAGTAGGTATCATCAGTCTCGTGTCATGAATGAGGAAACTGAGGCACAGATGCTGTGGAACTTTGCAAAAGACACAGAGTTGACCTTGAGCATTGTAGCTCCCAGGCCACTGCTGTACAGCAGCTCTCTGCTCCTGGGAAGGAGTGCAGGAAATAAATTTAAATTAGTTATGTTGGTGAAGGACTTGGCTAGACACCAAGTTTTTATCAAAACAGAGTGGACTGCCAGGAACAACCTAGAGGCCAACTGCTCTTTCCAGTCCTGAGACCCCAAAACTAGCTCTATACCACTCCCCCTTCAGTCCACTCCTCAGGAGAGAACAGCTGTTTAGTTCACAGTGGGGTATGGGTGGGGAGCGTGGGCCCTTTGTATAAAATCCAGACCAGGGCTGAGAGTGTTGGCACTGCACTGAGGATGGGCAAATGCCTGCCAGTGTGGCCCTGGGGCTGCCAGCACAGTAGAAACAGGCAGTTTCACCCAAGTTCACTTCTCTCATTTTATGTGCCTGGTCACTTCCCACGTTTTATTTCAGACAGTCATGGTCTTTTTATAATGAAATGTTTTACAGTACCAAAGAACATGTATAACACATAGATATCAAGAATGCTAAAGTGAACCCGCATGACACCCACCCATATGAGAGAGGGAGCAGGACACCCCTCAGCACTGGTGCCCCTGGCCCAATGCTCCCTTCAGGGGAGAGGCAGTAGCTGAAGTCATTCTCCCCCATGCCCTTTCCTAGTTTGTTTTTAAATTTTTTTTTCTCTGTTACTCCGCAAGAAATTTATCTTTAAAAATCTAATGACACTGTCTAGAAACATTTGGCAGTTTTATTTACAATTATTTTAAGGTTGAATTGCTGAGAGTTTCACGAAAGCGTCTATTTGCGTTAATCTGAGTCCCCATGTTTATATTGGAACCTTTCACAAATCCAAACGGGAAGCATTGACTTGGCCCTGGCCCTGTATGTCTTGGTATCTTTGGACTCCATGAGCAAAAAAGTAGCAAGTGTTCAGAACTACACATAACAGTCCAAGTAACCCATTTCCCATCCTAATGTCGTGTGGGGCAGGGCAGCTGGGTGTCCCTGGCATGACTGGTGCACTGGGGTGTGGGCAACATGCTGCTCACTCTGACCCCTCCCTACCCCTCACCTCACTATTCTTTATAATTTTATTTATTTATTTATGTATTTATCCCCCCCACACACACAATAGATAGTTGTATGGCATAGCTGCACATCCTTCTAGCTGCTGTATGTGGGACGCGGCCTCAGTATGGCCGGAGAAGCGGTGCATTGGTGTGCGCCTGGGATCCGAACCCCGGCCGCCAGCAGTGGAGCGCATGCACTTAACCGCCAAGCCACAGGGCCAGCGCTCACCTCACTATTCTTGCGTGAGCCCCAGTAGCAGCACTCTCGCAGCACAGGTGCATTTTCAGATTCCTGATCTTGCTAGCCCCAGATATCTGATGTGACACAGTATCAATCTGTGGACAGGCAGCGGGAACGTTCTCCTGAAAGGCTTTGTAGCTGATTGCTGGGGCCTCACCACTTAGTTTGGTTAGGGCGAAGCAGGCCACAAGGAAAGCTTAACGTCCTCTTCTGGCCAAACACCTCTGAGAGCAAGAGCACTTTGCTTTTACTGCATTTTATCTACTCTGATGCTGCGGATGGCAAGACACATTGGTATTTACCACTGAAAGACAGGTGCTGCCAGTTATACGCGCCATTGGTATAAGTGGATCAGGAGTCCATGCCACATGTCTTTTTAATGTATAAAACTTTTGAATATACGTCATACAATCTTAGTGTACGTATTCTACAACTTTCCTTTTTGACCCATCATTTTCCTGAGATTCCTCCCTGTGGACACAGCTGTAGGTCGATG